GAACTTAGGGGCAAATCGCATCCTCTCACATTAATCCTTTGTACTAAAACAAAATAAATGCCGCAGTAAAGGATTGATATTCAGCTCTGTAATCCAATTAGCATAATTAGATTTAATTGTGCAATCCATCCCCCCTGAAAGCTTAAAACTAGGAAGCAAGACTTGCCACGATTCCGTGGAAAAACGGGCTGCAGGAGTGCGATTCACTGAATTCCCAAACCACAGAAGTTTCTTGCTATTTTATTGGCTTCCAAATGAATTATCTGAGCACCAGACAATCTCCTTGGGCCCAAAAGAGCCTGCTTAAGGAAGATTTTAGCCACAGCTTCGTCCCCTTCGTTTAATGAAAGATATTTGGTCACTGGTGCATTATGCTCAAGAATATTCTGCCTAACCTCTCAGAGCCAGAGAAAACATGATATCTTCTACTCTTCCAAGCTTTTTATTGCATTGTTATCAGTGAATGCTCCGTTTTATGTGCTTGTTTCCTGAATTTAATCTTTGTCTATTATAGTCTCTCTTTCCCCCCAAAAAAATTTCTTGTACTGCCACCGCTTTTTAAATTAATTTATGGTTTGTGCTTGTTAGCCGGTATGAAACCTCTGTGATAGAAGAAAGATCAGATTGCTTCTGATAATAATATATAAGTTAAATGAAATATTTGAGAAACGATCGGTGTTATTGGACACCAAAGGTAGCACAGTAGATAAAGATGTGAGATGTTTAGACAAGATGTCTTTCTTTTTCCCTCAAGTGCGGTCCTTGGGGGTGGTCTCTGAGCTTGGTTGTTTCCTTACAGACGTTTTATGACCCAACTAGGTAACACCATCAGTTTTAAAAGGGAGTGGGATTTGCTCTCAGTTTGGGGTCGGTGGGACAACTAAACAGTAAATAACAACCTAATCAAGGAACCACCAAGAAGAAAAGTTTTCTTCTTGGTGGTTCCTTGATTAGGTTGTCATTTACTGTTTAGTTGTTTGTGTTGGCAGTTCCAACTCTAGACAAACTGAGTTGGTCATTCCAATGCTAGAACTACCATCTCTAGATATCCCAAAGGTGATTTTTTCAGGAGGCAAGTGGACTTTCTTAGGTTTTTTTGAAGACGTTTCGCTGCTCATCCCAGAAGCTTCTTCAGCTCTGACGTGAAAAAGCTCCTTTGGGACAACTATGACCTGGATGACTGAGAACCTCCATAGACATTTACCATCCCTAGAACGACCAGTTCAGACAAACAATCAAACAGTAAACAACAGCCCAATCAAGGGACCAACATGAACATCCTCACCAACACTGGCAGAAGAAGCCGCTAGTATCTAAACAGGGACCTATGCCCACTCCTTCCTAGCATTGATGATGTTACCTAGTTGGATAATGAAATGTCTGCAAGGAAACAACCAAGCTCAGAGACCCCACAGTCCTCCTCCTCCTCCTCCTCCTCCTCTCCTTTTGCAAACCCCACTCCCTTCTAGCACTGATGACGTTACCTAGTTGGGCAATGAAACGTCTGCAAGAAAACCACCAAGCTCAGAGATCCCACAGTCCTCCTCCTCCTCCTCCTCCTCCTCCTCCTCCTCTCCTTTTGCAAACCCTTCTCCCTCCTAGCACTGATAATGTTACCTAGTTGGGTAATGAAACGTCTGCAAGAAAACAATCAAGCTCAGAGACCCCCACAGTGCTCCTTTTCTTCCTCCTTCTCCTCCTCCTCCTCCCCTTTTGCAAGCTCCACTCTCTCCTAGCACTGATGACGTTACCTAGTTGGGTAATGAAACGTCTGCAAGAAAACAAGCAACCTCAGAGACCCCACAGTGCTCCTCCTCCCCCTCTTTCTCCTCCTCCTCCTCCCCTTTTGCAAACTCCACTCCCTTCTAGCACTGATGATGTTACCTAGTTGGATAATGAAACGTCTGCAAGAAAACAAGCAAGCTCAGAGATCCCACAGTGCTGCTGCTGCTGCTCCTCCTCCTCCTCTTCCTCTTTGTCCTCCTCTTTGCAAACCTCCACTCCCTCCTAGCACTGATGACGTTACCTAGTTGGGTAACGAAACGTCTGCAGCGAAACAGCCCAAGCTCAGAGAGCACCAAGGACCCCACAGTTCAACCCTGAGCTACCAATATTCTCTTCCGTTGGAGTCACGCTTACATCAAACTCGTTCAGGGCTGCCGCAAGCTCCCCGATTCCGGTGTGGCCCTTGTTCTCGTCGGTGGGCGAGGTGGCCTGAGCTGCATTGGAAATGCCAGCAATGGCTTCCTGGACTTGCTTGAAGACATAATCCCGGTTGGCTCGGGTGGCGGCGACGTCAGGGTGGCGGAGGAAAGCTTGCGAAGCTGTGTAGAGCATGGTTGCGTTTTTTTTCAAGGCCCCACGAGCGGCGGCCATTTCGTCCCTACAGTGGGGATCCTTCAGCTCCTATTTGAAACAAATATACATATATATATAAATAAATCATAATGCACAATTGCACACAGGCATATGAATCTATAGCAGGGGTCTTCAAACTCGGCCCTTTTATGACTCGTGGACTTCAACTCCCAGAATTCCTGAGCCAGCCATGCTGAGGGGAAAGGGAGAGGTTTCCAAGCTGAGCCATGCTGGCTCAGGAATTCTGGGAGTTGAAGTCCACGTGTCATAAAGCGGCCTAGAACTAGGCCAGAGATAGGCAACCTTGGCTCTTTTATGACTCGTGGACTTCAACTCCCAGAATTCCTGAGCCAGCCATGCTGAGCGGAAAGGGAGAAGTTTCCAAGCTGAGCCATGCTGGCTCAGGAATTCTGGGAGTTGAAGTCCACGAGTCATAAAAGAGCCAAGGTTGCTTACCCCTGGCCTAAAAAACCAAATGTCTGGGGAAACTGAATAAAACCCAAGTCATTCTGCAGATTATGTAAGATGCCCTTTCCACAGGCTTACCTGTTGCCTTCTAGCAGCTACGTAGTTAAGCTTCACCATCTCTTTTCCAAATTCTTTGAAGCGGTTTGCCAGGTCTTGTTCGTTGGTGGCGTTCTTCACGGCTTCCAACGCTTCCTCTACCTGCAGAGGAAGATGGAAATTTGAGAGTTCAGTCTATGACAGGGGTCTTCAAACTTGGCCCTTTTGTGACTTGTGGACTTCAACTCCCAGAATTCCTCAGCCAGGCACGCTGGCTAAGGAATTCTGGGAGTTGAAGTCCACTCCTCTTAAAGTCTATATCAGGGGTCTTTAAACTCGGCCCTTTTATGACTCGTGGACTTCAACTCCCAGAATTCCTCAGCCAGGTACACTGGCTGAGGAATTCTGGGAGTTGAAGTCCACAAGTCATAAAAGGGCCACGTGTGAAGACCCCTGGTCTATGACTTTCAAATCTTCACTGCATTACCAGGCAATTTCAGAATAGTGAGGCACATCCTCCCCAGGAGATCATAAAATCATGCTATGGATATTCCCAACTGGGTAGACCTTCCTTGTATGTTTTATAATTTTTTTTTAAATCTCATCATGTCTTTAGTATGGATATTGTACTAAAGTAGGTCTGTCACTGAAAATGAAACAAAATCTGGCGCAAGATTCGTTGCAAGACTATAGTGAAAAGTCAAACATTGGGAGATTGCAAATAAGTTCTAATTCTCGGTGACTCTCTTTTTCACACAGATGACAGTAGTAGCCTTATACGGTAGTTTCCACGTGAAAAATAAATTAACCTATTTTTTATAGTTCTAGGAAGGGTCAGCAGGAGCCTGTTTGTACCGCAAAGTGTATTCAAGTTATGTGTGTTTTTGTAACACTGCAAAGGCAATCAAGCAAAACAATCCGCTTTAGCTAGGCCAGGAGTAGGCAACCTCGGCTCTTTTATGACTCGTGGACTTCAATTCCCAGAATTCCTGAGCCAGCCATGGTGAGGGGAAAGAGAGAGGTTTCCAAGCTGAGCCATGCTGGCTCAGGAATTCTGGGAGTTGAAGTCCACGAGTCATAAAAGAACCAAGGTTGCCTACCTCTGGCCTAGGCCTAGGCCGCTTTATGACTCGTGGACTTCAACTCCCAGAATTCCTGAGCCAGCTTGGCTCAGCTTGGAAACCTCTCCCTTTCCCCTCAGCATGGCTGGCTCAGGAATTCTGGGAGTTGAAGTCCACGAGTCATAAAAGAGCCAAGGTTGCCTATCCCTGAGCTAGGCCATGGGCTTCATATCAATTTCTAGCAACATACAACGGCAACAGCTCAACATAAAAGATCAGCAGGAAAATAAATACTATTGTTGACCTTTAACTTTTAGCGTGTTGTGTTTTTACTCACTGAGTACAAATATGTGTTCTCCCTAAAAGATGTAAATGACAGGCAGGCAGGCAAGACCCAGCATTCCTCAACCTTCTATTTCAAAACGTAAACAACTCTGATGCCATCATTGTGAACAAGTAACAATTAACTGTCACCACAAAAATATATCTCAGGATGGGTTACATAAAAGCAGGCCAAAGTACAACGATTAAAATGCCAATTAAAATCTGTTTGCAATCTGAGAGCGAAACATTAGTGTGCCCGGAAGGAACGGGGGCTTGTTTCATTTTGTAAAGCAAGGCAAGGCAAGGCAATGAAAGTGGAAGATAAAATGTTTTGGAAGTCCAGTGTCCTTCGTGCCGTGTTTCTATAAGAAGATGGTATAAAAATAACATTATTCTGGGCTCCCACTTAAAGATCCACAAACCCACTGATAGAAAAGGAATAAAAGTTGAGTCATCTTATTGAACCCCAAACTCTAAGTGGTGTCAAACTTGGTTAATATTGGGATGGAAGCACCATGAATGCAGTCTAGAGAGGGCAGCTGAAGATGGAATGGAATGGGATGGGATGGGATAGGATAGGATAGGATAGGATAGGATAGGATAGGATAGGATAGGATAGGATAGGATAGAAAAGAACAGACTAGAACAGAATAAGAAGAGAACAGAATAAGAAGAGAAATAAGAACAGAAGAGAAATAAGAACAGAACAGAATAGAACAAAATAAGAATAGAACAGAACAGAATAAGAAGAGAACAGAATAAGAAGAGAACAAAATAAGAAGAGAAGAGAAATAAGAAGAGAAGAGAAATAAGAACAGAACAGAATAAGAATAGAACAGAATAAGAATAGAACAGAACAGAATAGAATAGAATAGAATAACAGAGCTGGAAGGGACCTTGGAGGTCATCTAGTCCAATCCCCTGCTCAGGCAGGAAACCCTATACCATTTCGGACAGATTGGTTGTCCAATCTCTTCTTTAAAATTCCCTGTATTTTCCATTTCTCTGTTTTTTGAAGATGAGAACACTTTACTTCCCCCATTTTGATACATCCTGCCCCGAGATTTCTCCAAGGTCCACTAGCAAATGATAACATAAATGAGGCCAAAAAGCAAAGTAATTTGTTAAGACACCATTGTCCCCAGTAGAATTCCTGGGAAATTGGTATTTATCTTTGATTTATCTCTATGGCATGGAGGGTAGGTAACTCACTGATCACATGTTGCCATTTTTCCAAGCCTCTTCCTATCATTATGCCGTGGAGGCGCAGTGGTTAGAAGGCAGTATTGCAGGCTGACTCTGCGCACTGCCAGCAGTTTGATTCTAACCGGCTCAAGGTTGACTCAGCCTTCCATCCTTCTGAGGTTAGTAAAATGAGGACCCAAATAGTTGCGGGCAATATGCTCACATTTGTAAACCGCTCAGAGAGGGCTGTAAAGCATGGTGAAGCGATATATAAATTGCTATTGCTATTATAAAGAGGACATGGTTGTCAGGATTTTCCATCCCACAATGAGCAACAAGCTGGACTATATGACCACTAAGATTTCCATGAATCTGATTCTCCATATTTTTCAAGAAATCCTTGGTCTATAACAGGGGTCTTCAAACTTGGCCCTTTTATGACTTGTGGACCTTCAACTCCCAGAATTCCTCAGCCAGTGTGCCTGGCTGAGGAATTCTGGGAGTTGAAGGTGCACAAGTCATAAAAGGGCCAAGTTTGAAGACCCCTGGTCTACAACAAATAGTTCATCCTCAATAGACAGACAGTGATTTATTCCACTGGTTTGATTCAAATGCCTTTTGAAATTCATTAAAATATGAACCTATCTGGCGGTAACCCTCAATCCACTGGATTCCTGGGGCACGAATCCACTCATTGTTGGAATGGTGGTTATGAGATGCTTGGAAGACACCTAAATGATCTACTGAAATCTGTGGGAGAAATCCAAAATTATTCAGCGGGAGATAAGAATCTTATCTGAGGCCGGATCCCAAGCTGGCACGAGAAGCAAACAGAAGTCGGTTTCCTATTTCTAGGAAGAATCTGTTTCCAATTTATATCTTTATTGTTTATTAAACAAGTTTATACAGCCGCTAACTCACGCACAGTTGATTCCAGGTGGCTTGAAACATTAAAACCTGCCATATAAGAACCATATAAAACCCATATGCACCCACAACAGCAACAGAAGCAAACCAACGGATGATTACCCAATTAGTTATAATTAAGCAGAATAGAACAGAATAATTGTTCCTGTCATTGTGTAACTCACAACAAAATTAAGTGCTGTCCACAGTGCACACTACACACAAGTAAAATCCACAAATAAGAACGTGCATTATATACACACATCCTTCACATTCTAAGGGTAACAGGTGACAGCTGGACAGTAATTTCTTCACACAGAAAACTATTGTGGGAAGTCAGCCCCCCAGAGAAAGAAATATTAAAAGGGCAGAATATTACATTTCCTCAAAGGATCTTAAAGGGGCAGAAAAGCATGCCCAGTTTTTCTTAATAGCCCCAAGTCTGTCTCCCCCCAAGCAGAAACCAGCTCTGTAGAAATGCAGATGTGATAATCCATTCATGAAGGTTGAAGCTACAAGATTAAGAAGACAAAGACACCAAAAATCTACATACCCCACCCAAATTCTAAGACACGACATAATAGGATTAACCCACAGATACCAAAGGGCACACTCAGACTCAGGTCAAAGTTCATGCCACAGGAACAACTCCAAACAAAAGGCTCCAGAGGGTATAAAAGCCCACTCCCTACATGTGCTTGCTCTCTTTTCTTCCAGAGCCATCTCTCTGTCTGTCTCTCCTCTTCAATAAAGTGCAACTTTCTTTCTAAAGCAGGTCGCCATGTTATTTATTCCCGGCTTGGACTGGACCCTGATGAAGATTTTTCCTTCAACACTATCAATAGTTAAAACTTACAAGGCAACGGCTACAGCTATGTATACACAGATTTAAGATACCCTCAGCCTGAATCAACAGATAAAAACATTTAATATTTTAAAACACCAGCATAGATAAATACTAATCCTCGGGAGATTCTCTCAACAGAAGCGAGGATTTGCCATGATTTTCTCGGGGAATATTACTCCAATATTAGCGCTCTGCATTTTTGTGTCAATATTGAACAAGATTGTAAAATCGTTCAACTTTTTTTTTCAGTTGGTACCAAGGCTTCAAAGCATTCTATTCCTTCAACAGAAATACTATTGCATTTTACCATCATGCAAAACAGATTCCAAACTGAATTTGGAAAACATCTAAAATGCTTGCCACTGGATGGCTGATGCGGTTAATATTGAGCAAATCAAGAATTAAAAAATTTTAGGATTTAATTTTAACCAGAAAAGTTCCAGGGTCGCTTAGCAAACACCAATGAGAGTAGACTTTTAATCATCTCAAACTGTGGTAAGATTTTACAAATAATCTGCCTGTTTCAAGCACTAAAGCTAATGCTACAAAACTAACAATGCTTATAATTTAAGGGGAAATCACAGGATGTAACTAACTGAACAGCATTAACAATTTTTTTTTCCCTGGAGCTCGATAAGAATCAATCTGCCTTCAGTATTAACCCTGCAGCAATTCTGAATTCTGAAGACTGCTATCCTGTCCCCCCTTGTTCTTCTCTTCATTAAACTAGACATACTCAATTCCAGCAACCGTTCCTTATATGTTTTAGCCTCCAGTCCCCTGATCATCTTTGTTGCTCTTCTCTGAACTCTTTCTAGAGTCTCAACATCTTTTTTACATCGTGGTGACCAAAACTGGATGCCGTATTCCAAGTGTGGCCTTACCAAGGCATTGTAAAGTGGTATTAACACTTCACGTGATCTTGATTCTCTCCCTCTGTTAATGCAGCCAAGCACTTTTTGGCAGCTGCAGCACACGGCTGGCTCCTATTTAAGTGATTGTCCACTAGGACTCCGAGATCCCTCTCACAGTTACTACTACTGAGCCAGGTCAAGGGATAGGAGCAACATAGAAACCTGCATTATAAACTGTTTAGAGCAGGGGTGTCAAACTCAATTTCCTTGAGGGCCAATATCAGCATTGCGGTTGCCGTCGGGGGGGGCGGGGGTGTGTGGCCAGGGTGGGTGCGGCCTACTGGGTGGGCATGGAGGGAGTGGGTGTGGTCTACTGGGTGGGCGTGGCCAGCTCTACATCATTCGCGTCAAGGGTGCCTGTGGGGGCCTGGGCAGGAGTGGGACAGATCTGAGGGTCTCTGGCAGAAGGGGGTGGGACCAGGGCAAGCGCCAAGGCATGGTCCATTTCTTCATTCCTCACAAAGGGTGACCCCTCCCCAGCATGCACCCAGGGGGCAGGGCCGACGCGGCAGGGGCCGGTCCCTCGCTGTTTCCAGACGGCCTTGTGGAGCTAAGACTGAATGCGTTTCAGCATAGTTGGCCACCACAACATTGTACATTGGCTCCCGGCCGGCCTGGGCCAGGGTTAGGCAGCGGGGGCCGTTCCCTCACTGTTTCCAGGATGGCTTCGCGGGCCACATGAAACCACTTTGCGGGCCGCATCCGGCCCCCGGGCCTTGTGTTTGACATGTCTGGTTTAGAGCCAAAGATTCTAGAAGCAACTCTGGAACCAGATGACTGAGGACAACTTATTTCAAAATACCGTGTATTTATTTGTTTGGTAGATAATTCAACGTCTCTTAGCCTCAGCAATATGCTAATGTAATTCATTGCATAAATGTTTTGCATTCCGTTAGGGAATAGCCTTCATATATCATTGCCAATTAAGTACTTCTTGTTGTAGACATTGCAAGAGAAGAGCTGAGTTAGCCCATGGCGGCACACAACCAGAAGTCTGGCAGCATCTTTTCCATGTTAAAAGCTTATGCCTTATAATAAAATACAATAGTCGCAAAAGGTGCTGCCACATCCTGATTAATTACTAATCAACTGTAAGCTCGGTAATATTTGAAACAAATATCATCAATGTGCCATCACTAGGCTTGGTCCCTGAATAAAAAGCATCCAGATAAGCTGCTTCTCCTAATAATGTTTTGTGGTTGTTTCCACACCTTTTACTTTTCGTTCCTAATAATAATAGTAGTAGTAGTAGTCGTCGTCGTCATCGACGTAGTAGTAGTAGTAGTAGTAGTAGTAGTAGTAGCAGTAATAATAATAATAATAATAATAATAATAATAATAGTTGGAAGTGACCTTGGAGGTCATCTAGTCTAACCCCCTGCTCAGGCAGGAAACCCTACACCAGTGGTTCTCAACCTGTGGGTCGGGACCCCATTTGGGGTCGATCGACCATTTCACGGGGGTCGCCAAGCAAGGCTGTCCGCCATTTTTTTTGTCCGCCATTTTTTTTGTCCGCCATTTTTTCCCCTTTTCCGGCGGGTGCCTTACCTCCCTTGGGCTGGGCCAGCTGGTGGTCGGCCTGCTCCGTCTCTGCCGCTTGC